TCAAGTAATCCACCCACCTCAGCCTTCCAAAGTGCTGGGACTCCAGGCGTGAGCCACTGCACCCAGCCAGTTCTGTGATTTTACACACACATCTAAGATTGTTGTGTTTCTAGTGGATTGACCTTTTAAACATTATATATAATGCCCCTCTTTGATAATTTTCTTTCCTCTAAAATCTACTTTATCTAATATTAACATAGCCATTCCTGCTTTCATCTATTAATGTTTGCATGATGTATCTTCTTCCATTCTATTACTTTCAGCCTGCCTCCATTGTCATGTTTGAAATGAGTTTCTTGTGACCGCATATTGTTGGGTAATGTTTTAAATTCATTTTATTAATCTGTCCTTAACTGTTGTATTTAGATCATTTACATTCAGTGTAATTGTTGATGTCTTAGGACTTAAATCTGCCATTAAAAAAATGTTTATTCTTTGTTTTTTGTTTGTTTTTTCTTTCCTGCCTTCCTGTGGGTAATGTGAACATTTTTCAACAATTCCATTTTGATTTATTTAGTGTTTTTTAGTATATCTCTTTGAACAGCTTTTTCAGTGGTTGCTGTATTATGCTACATATGCATAACTTATCACAGTCTATTGGCTGTGTTAACTTAGTAATCTGAGTGAAGTACAAAGCTTACCTCCCTTTATGTCCTTTTACCTTCTCACATTTATAATGGTCTTAAATATGTCTTTTACATGCATTTGGAACCACATCAATATTATAATTTTTGCTTCAACCATCAAATATGACTTAGAAAAATTTATATTTACCTGTATTTTATATCTACCTGTATTTTTGTTTACCATATTCTTTCTTTCCTGATAGTCCTTCTTTTATCATTTTCTATCTGTTTAGCTAAATTCCATTAGTCATTCTTTTAGAGTAAGTCTTCTGGTGAAAAATTCTCTTAGTTTTCTTTTATCTGAACATTTCTTGACTTCTCCCTTATTTTCACTGGGTATAGGATTCTAGGTTGACAATTTCTTCCAATAATTAAAAATATTGTGCTACATCTGGCCTTTGTGGGTTTTGATGAGAAATCCACTATCATTCTAATTGTTTTTCCTCTGTAGGAAAAACAATTTTTTTTTCATTTTCAGAAGTTAAATTTGGGGGGATGGGCATGGTGGCTCATGCCTGTAATCCCAGCACTTTGGGAGGCTGAGGCAGTCAGATCACTTGAGGTCAGGAGTTCAAGACCAACCTGGCCAACATGGCGAAACCTCATCTCTACTAAAATACAAAAATTAGCCAGGTATGGTGGTGGGCACTTGTAATCCTAGCTACTCGGAAGGCTGAGGCACTAGAATCACTTGAACCCGGGAGGCAGAGGCTTCAGTAAGCTGAGATTGTTTCACTGTACTGCAGCCTGGGTAACAGAGCAAGACTTTGTCTCAAAAAAAAAAAAAGTTAAATTTTGGGCTATCTTGGCATGAATTTCTTTGGGTGTATCCTATTAGTGGTCTGCTCAGCTTTTTGATCTGTAGGTTTATGTCTCCTGTCAAATTTGGCAACCTTTCAGACATTATTTCTTTGATTTCCTTTTCAGCCCTGTATTCATTCTCCTGTCCTTCTGAAACTATGATATGTGAATATTAGATCTTGTCTTACAGTCTTACAGGTCCCTGAGGCTCTATTCATTTTATTTTAAGCCTATTTTTTCTCTTAGGTTTGGTTGGGTAATTTCTATTTTTCTCTTTCTCAATTCACTGACTCTTTCCTCTATTTGCACAATTATACTGTTGTGCTCAGCCATTAAGCTTTTACAATTTCAGTTGTATTTTTCAATTCAAAAATTTCTATTTGGTTCTTCTTAATATTTTTTTTTCTCTCTCTGCTGAGGCTTTCTATTTTTTTTTATTTCTTCTAAGTGTGTTTATAAGTGTTTTTTGAAGCATTTTAATTATGATTGCTTTAAAAATCTTTGTCAAAAAATTCTAACATCACTAACATCTCAGTGTTTGTGTCTACTAATTGTCTTTTTTCAGTTTTAGATCTTCCTGGTTATTGGTACAACAATTTGCTTCTGATTAAAACATGGACACTTTCGTATTATGTTATGAGACTCTGGATCTTATGTAAACCCTCTGTTTTAGCTGGCTTTTTGTTACTTTGCTCCAGCACAGGGAGTAGGGAGATAAGACCTCATTACTGCAAGATGGAAGTGGAAGTCCAGGTTCCCCATCTGGACTCCATTGACACCAGAGATGGTAGGCTTCTAATCATTATTGGACAGATGTGGAGGTTCATCTCCATATGTAGCCTCCATTGAGACTGTGGTGGGGTCTAGATGACAATCAGGACATGGCTTGATTTTTAGTCATTACTTTCATAAGAGATTCCTTATATATTAATACTTTGAATCTAGAAATGCACTCAATGAGGATGGGCCTGAGCATGAAGGTACAGACAAATAGTGAGGTATTAACTAACACCTCTTTGGTTACAAGTAACAGAAACCAATTCAAGCTAGCTTAATTTGCAAAAGCATAAGGTAGGGTAGGGGAAGAATTATAAGAAAGTACGAAGCTACTCATGGAAACAAAGGGAGAGGGAATTCAGTCAGGCTTCAGGAAAGGACTAGAACTAGAAAATGGAAAACTTCCAAGGCTTTTTATTCATCTGCAGTCTCTGCTTTTCTCTCTCCACAGGAAAGTTTTTACTTCCCTTAGCTCAAATTTGCATCCTACAGCAGTTTCATGTACAAGACTGATCCACTATCTCTCATTCCAATTCCAAAGCATAGGGAAAGATAATCTGAGTGGCAACCATGCCAGTGGGTAGAGGTCACATAATTACAAATGCAACTTTTGGAAGTGCTACCCTTATGTAGACACCCCCAAAAGTATCTGATATAGGTGTATATGGAAATATTAACAAGTCGGAAAGCAGCAAGCAAGGCCTTTCTTAACAGATGATCTCACTACAAACTTAAACATTGTCAGGTTGATTTTTATTGTTGTTGTTATTCTTACAACTTAGTTCTTTATGGCTGCCTTTTCTGTTTTATATATCGTTTGTTTGACTGTCTCAACACTCTTACATACTATTACTTATAGTAAGTGATTGCAGGGTAAAATGAGAATAAGCAAAGAATGAGAAGATCACACTTTGCTAAACCATCTTAGACACTGGTCTAAGTTAGGATTAAGGAGAAACTAGTTAATGTGCTGTACGAGTTTGCTGAATTATCATGTTGAACATGATATAACATCTGAATGTCATCATAGGGCTGAAACTTCATTGTCTGTTCTGTTCTTAAGCCAAAATGAATAGGGTCTAGGTGGATTAATAGGTGGATTGCACATTAACAAGATGATTTACATACCTTAAATTTCTCTCTGGTCAAACATGGGTCAGATTTCAAATATGAAGGAATAAATCTCATGCTTGGCATTCCATTTGGTAATGATGAAAATTCTTGAGAAAGATTATGCAAATCAAAATATAATTGGAGAGATTTTTCACTTCCAGGAGGATGAAGTAGATGCATTTTCCCTATTCTTTGCACTAAAAATAACTACAAACCCATATAAAATGAACAAAAGGCAACTCCAAAAGGTAGAAAGCAGGCAGGCTAGCTAGGGACTTCAAGAACCAAGGAACAACACAATGGTGTCTCCTGGGTTTTCTTTTTGCCTCATATATCCAAGACTTGGAGCTGAAGAAGCTAGCAACCTGAGAACACAAAAGTGCCCAGAAACATGCACAAAAAGCTCTCAACAATAGCCTGTATTATGTAGAAAAGGACCAGGAAAGGGACAGCCTACTGATACAGAAAATGTTTGGCAATAACCACTGTACTCCAGCCAAGTGCCACTGATAAACAGTGCCCTCACTCCCACCCACGTAAGCAGAGGCAGAGGGGCTTACGCTTCCACTCTTATGAGGTATAATGAGGGATCTCAAACTTCTGCAAGGGTGGTGTCAAAGAAGGACAAGTAGAAGCCAGAACTTTGACTCTCCCATTGGCCTATAAAGAGTCTCTCTCCTCCCGCAGGGTGTCATTGGAAACCAAATGGGGAGCCGAGATTTCCACACTCAATGGACAGAAATGAAGTACCTCTTTCTCTCCCCATTGGGCTGGTGTCAGAGGATGCCTAGTGAAGAGTCAGGGTTTTCACTAATGCACAGTAGCAATGGTTCATAGCCTTCACCCATTTTCTTATGAAAGTATTTGTAAGTTTCCAGTTGATATGTAAGCACTCTTTGTATATTAAGTATATTGGTCATGTTTTTCACTTTATAAAGAGAAATGGCAACGCATAATGATGAAGTTCAGGAGGACTCTGGAATCAGAAGGTCTAGGTGGATTTGACTCCAGATTCCACTATGTATTGGCTTGTGAGGCTTTGGACAAATTATTTAACCTCTTAGGACCTCAATTTTCTCATGTGTAAAATGTAAAGTGTATACATGTATTACTTAGAACAGTGTGTAGCACATAGAAGTACATTACAAAAATCTGTTGATAATATTACTATTGTATTTATTATTTTCAGCTTGTTACTGTCTTTACTTTTATTTACACATGTTTTCTTTTGACCTTAGAGGTGGTTCTATTTTTTATCTTTAGAAGAAAACTGGGCTCACTCTTTCTGCTTTCATCTGAGTATCAATAAACTGAAGTAGCTCAGGTTAATTATTTTTAATTCTGGTTACCCCATAGGATTAGAAAGTTACCCCATAGGATTTAGAACAGCTGACAATATTCAAGTCAGGCTATAATCATACTTTATTTATGCATACTTTATTAATAGATCTAAATTAATGAGTAGTTTCATGCAAATAATCAATTAAATAAGGCCTGATAACTTATTCCTTCACTTATCCAGTGTTTTCTGACAGCTTTGGGTCTTTGTTCTTTGCCAAATGTGATGCAGCTGACATCATTTTCAAGAGCAGATTTTTTTCTTAGGATAATAAATTAATAAGCCCTGCTTCCTTTAAAAACATTATTAAATAGCTAAGAGTGATAAAAACTGTATTGACTTACTGATGTTGGATTTGAAAGTTGGTTCTTGGATTGAATAGCTGTTTTATCTGAGTGGTTTGCATGTTTTTAGGGTTATGCATGATGGGGAGCAAACACTGCAATATTTCTTGAGTTTGAACTATTCCTTTATCCTTGTAGCTCCTTTTTTCATCATCTGTCCAATTTATGCCAGTCTTCTTGCTTTGGAAAGATATGCATTCTTTTATTTTGCTTTTTAAGTTGTGGTGCAGATCTGGGGAGCAACCACAAAAATATGTACAGGGATATAAACTCTACTCACAATTACTTATTGGGCATTATTATATGCCAGGGATTTTATCTAAAATTCCTTGCCCATCTGAAGCTTGTACTTTAATGACAGTGGGCAGAAAATAAACAAGTAAAATATATATTATGTTAGATAATGATAAAGTTTATAGGATAAAGTAAAGCTGCGGAGGGGAGTAGAGAATTCTTGAGGGGTTGATTTCCACTTTTAAAAAGGTGTTAAGAGAAAGCCTCCTTATGAAGCTGACATCTCATGGAATTTAGGAAGCAAATCAAGCAGGTTTCAGAGGAAAGATAATTTGAGGCAAAGGTCCTGAAGTAGGAGAATCGTAGTGTGTTCAAGAACACCAAGAATGCAGTCAGTGGCTGGAGGAGAATGAACAAAAGGGAAAGTTATAAGGGATAAGTTCAGGTAGGTAACATGGACTCAGCTCATGTAGGGCCTCACAGGCCAGTAGAAGGACTTTGATTTTTACTGAGTGTGAGATGGAGAAGCATTGGAAGGCATTGAGCAGAGGAGTGTCAGTCTGAGATTTGTTTGGACAAGATTATGCTGGTTGCCAAGTTGAGAACAGATTGAAGAGAGGCAAGAGTGAACAAACAGGGAGATCTCTTGGAAGGCTGCAGAAACAATCCAGGAGAGATGGTGGTAGCTTGGACCAGGGTCATGGAAATGGCTAGAAGGGTGAGAAGTGGGGTGGGAGTATCCTGGGTACATATGTGGATTTTATAAAGAATTGGATATGAGATAAGAGAATAAGAGCGGAATCAGTGGTGGCTCCAAAGCTTCTAGTTTGAGGAAATGGCAGTATAGGGATATGGGGACTGGGAAGAGCATGTTAGAAATCCCTTTTTTATTAGATGATACAAAGGAATTATTGTTTTGTTAATGGAGACACTGGAATATAATAACATTTTAAAAAATGTTTATCCTACCCCATATTAGTTAGGATGGCTGCTATAAACAAACAAACAAACAAACACCTCCAGAAAATAACAAGTGTTGGCAAGGATTTAGAAAAATTGGAACCTTCACACATTATTAATAAGAATGTAAAATGGTACAACCATTGTGGAAAACAATATGATGGTTCCTCAATAATTAAAAATAGGATTACTATATGACCCAGCAATTCCACTTCTGGCTATATCCCCAAAAGAATTGAAAGCAGGGTCCCAAAGAGACATAGATACATTCATCTTTATAGTAGCAATATTCATAATAGCCAAACGTTATAAGCAACACATGTGTTCATTCATGAATGGATTAATAAAATGAGGTATATTCATACAATGGAATGTTATTTAGTGTTAAAAAGGAAGGAAATACTGACAAATGCTACAGTATTGGTAAACCTTGAGACTACTATACAAAATAAAATAAGCCAGACACAAAAAGACAAATATCATATCTGTCATTCAAATATTTGACTCCACTACCTAATTTGACTAGAATATTCCATTGACTAGAATTCTATTTGACTAGAACAGTCAAATTCATAGATACAAAAGTAGAAGGATGGTTTCCAGGTGCTGGGGTGGGGGAGGGGGAAGTGAGGAAGACTAGGCATAAAGTTTCAATTTTAAAAGAGAAAAAGGAGTTCTGGAGATTGCATCACAATGTGACTGTACTTAACACTACTGAATTGTACACTTAAAAATAGTTAAAATGGTAAATTTTGTTATGTGTATTTTATCACAATTTAGAGTCAACATACTTGGGAAGCGAGGGTAACCCTGAGTAAAGCCTGAAGGAAGATCAGTAGCCAGACATTTAAAAAAATGTCATAATTTGTAATTGCCATGCTTAAATTGGTCCATAGATAGCATAAGAGAAAGTAGAATACATTCAGAATAAAAGCAAGAAATACACTGTGCTTTGTTAGTGTTTATCTAGTGATATACACTAAACTGTTTATAGGCAAAATAATATAATTTATAGAATTTATTTTAAAATGCTCTAGGGAAAAAGTGGTGGGAAAACAGATGAAACAAGAGTAGCAGGATGCTGATGAGGATGGGTGATGGGCATCAGTGGACTCATTCTATTCTTTCTACTTTATGTTTGAACATTTCTACAATAAGTTTTTGGTAAAAAAATTATTCTTAAAAGGAAAATAAAAAGATAAAGCATGCATTGCATTAAGCTAGATCTGAAAGATAATGTATGATTACAATATCTGGCAATACTGGCATATGACATGAACTTATTTACAGTTTCTTGATAAGCCATTCTTAGGCCACTCAATAAACATTCACTGAATGTAGGCCAGGTGTTGTAGCTTATGCTTGTAATCTCAGCACTTTAGGAGGCTGAGGCAGATGGATCACTTGAGGTCAGGAGTTTGAGACTAGCCTGACCAACAGGGTGAAACCCTGTCTCTACTAAAAATACCAAAATTAAGTGGGCATGGTGGTGAGTGCTGTAATTCCAGCTACTCAGGAGGCTGAGGCAGACAAATTGCTTGAACCCAGGAGGCGGAAGTTGCAGTGAGCCAAGATTGCATCACTGCACTCTAGCCTGTGTGACAGAGCAATACTCCATCTCAAAAAATAAATAAATAAATAAATAAATAAATAAACATTCACTGAATGCTTATTGTATATCTGGCACTATTTTTGTTTGGTAAATAGATGTGAAAAACACAGTTCCTGCCTTCAATATGTTAAGAATCAGGACTAGAGAGCAAAAAGTGAACTATCTATTAGAATATACTTCATAGAGATAAACCAGGACACTTACTACATACATATACTTATAGCCATACTTATAGATGGGGGCAAAGGGTATTGGGTAAATTAATGAACACAAGTCAGCCAAGTAAAAAAGGAGGAGAGTGATCTAGGATGTGGGACTAACATGGCACATTCAGGAAATCATAAGTGTGGTATAGAATAATTGGGATATCAGGTAGGTATGAAGACATGGTTCAAAACTGGAAGCCTTGTTTGCAGTAACGCTTTTGAGAGATCCTTTAAGATGGGAATAATTCATGACTGATAACGCTAAATAACTGTGTTTTGAATGATACAGTTAGGGGGCCATTGAAGACTTTACGCAAGATAATCAGATTTGCAGTTTTGAAAGATCACATTGGGACCCAGGAAACCAAAAGGTGGAAGAAAAGTGAAACACAAGGCAGGGAGACAAATTAGGAGGCTAATGCAGTTCTTCAAGGGAGGCAAAATGAGGGTCTGAATTAGTGGTAGCATTAGGATGAAGAGAGCAGATTCAAGAGAATTTTTAGAGGTAGAACGGATAGAGCTTCATGTTATTAGAGACCAAAAAACAGAAGTGCACAACATTAGGATAAGTCTTGGGTTTATTACTTAGATAACTGGATGATGGCAGTACACTGACTGAGACATGGGATGCACGAGAAAGAGATTGGCAGTGGACAAGTTGAAGATAAGTGCCTGTGGGGAAAAACAGATGGAGATATCCAGTAGGCAGAGGAATATGAAATTCAGGAGAGGCTTAGACTGAAGATTAAAAAATATCATGGTCATCAGTTGCTGGTTGAAGCTGCAGGTAGAGATGAGAGTGCTCAGAAATAAAGTATGTGGTGACAAAGACCAAAGGATGGACTACTGGAAAATAGCCTACTTAAAATTTAGGCAGAAGTGATGTCCTACATGGGCTCCTCTTCATATATATTTCAACACATGTTTCATAAATGGCTAGAGAAACAGGAGTAAAACCAGGAGATAGTAGTGTCACAGATATGACACTCAGATTGTGAAATAGCTCAATGAATCAAGGGAAAGAGTTTAAAGGCCCTGGGAATAATCAACAGTAGAGAAGTCAGTATGGCTTTGTAAATAACCATTTCATGGTATGGCAACAGTAGAAACATTCTCAAGCACTAGGTTGAGAAGTATACAAGTAAGGAAGTGAAGGTAATGAATGTTGGCTATATTTGAGGAAGGTGAGAAAGAGGGCAATAATTAGAGTTATTTCACTAAGGAAATTGATGGACATGGGATCTAGAGCACTGCTGAATGAATTAACCTTAAACAGAGGGATATTTATTTCTGTGAAACAAGAAGGAAGGATGTTTGAAATGAGTTGATTTATTGATGACCTCTCTGGTTTTTGTTTCTGTTTTATATGTGAAGTAAGAAGTGAGGTTATCTACTGAAGGTAAAGTTTTATATGTGAAGTAAGAAGTTAGGTAGAGAGAGAGAGGAAAAGATTTAGAATAGTTACTCTGGAGAATGGAAGAGGTAGTTGATCAAGTATATATATATGTAAATTGTGCAAACAAGAATGTATAGTGCCATTTGGTAATGTAGTTTTTCTTTTTCTTTTATTTTTATTTATTATTATTATTATTATACTTTAAGTTCTAGGGTACATGTGCATAACGTGCAGGTTTGTTACATATGTATACTTGTGCCATGTTGCTGTGCTGCACCCATCAACTCGTCAGCACCCATCAACTCGTCATTTACATCAGGTATAACTCCCAATGCAATCCCTCCCCCCTCCCCCCTCCCCATGAAAGGCCCCAGTGTGTGATGTTCCCCTTCCCGAGTCCAAGTGATCTCATTGTTCAGTTCCCACCTATGAGTGAGAACATGCAGTGTCTAGAAGTCCAATGTGCTATCCATTGCGCCACAGAGCCTGCTTGCGGTAATGTAGTTTTTCTGCAGCAGGGCTCTGTAATCTAAGATAGGGGTAGAGATGGATAGTTAGATTCATCTAGAATTACAGTTGTTCAGCATTGGCTTAGTCAAAGGATAAGAAGGCAAAACGAGATCTAATTAAACTTAAGAGCTTCTGCACAGCAAAAGAAACTATCAACAGAGTAAACAGGCAACCTACAGAGTGGGGAGAAAATATAGGAATCTGACAAAGGTCTAAATATCCAGCATCTATAAAGAACTTAAAGCAATTTACAAGAAAAAAAACCAAACAACCCCATTAAAAAGTGGGCAAAGGACATGAACACTTTTCAAAAG